TTTTAGGAATTAGAGTTAAGAGACATAATAACGGTTTCATACTTAATCAAAGTCATTATATTGAAAAACCGCTTAATAAGTTTAAGTATCTTAATATAAAAGAAGCCAATACTCCATATGATACAAGTATAAAGTTAACAAAAAATAAAGGTCATGTAATTGCACAACTTAAATATGCTAGCGTTATTGGAAGTATTATGTACGCTATGTATTGTACTAGGCCAGATATAGCTTTTGCCATTTGCAAGTTATCAAGATATACAAGTAAGCCTAGCATAAGTCATTGAAAAGCCATAGGAAGAATTCTTGGTTATCTTAAAAGAACTAAGGGTTTTGGCTTATTTTATTTGGAATATCCAACAGTTTTGAAAGGATATTTGGATGCAAGTTAGATCACTAGTATAAGTGACAATACATCCACTTTAGATTGGACCTTTACTCTTGGAAATGGTGCAATTAGTTGGGCAGCCAAGAAACAAACTTGCATTTCACATTCAACTATTGAATCTGAATTTATAGCTTTAGCTAAAGCAAGCAAGAAAGCATAATGGCTAAGAAATTTTTTAATGAATGTCATAACGTATAGACCCATAGACCTATTGCTAGACACAACTTAAGTGGTTGTCACTAATTTTTTTGTTTAGGTGCGATTAGTTACCTAAGTAAATCTATTCTTTTGAGAAAATCCTAAGCTTGACTTAGGATCTCTAAAGAATAAGTTCTGGTCTATTAATCAAAACAGAGTTAAGAAGTTCGGTTATGTATTGAAAAAGTTATAGTATCCCCCACATGTCAATCCAAATGACGGTACCATTTAATTTTAAATTATCCTAAGGGTCTATGGTTTTAATGGCATTTTATTAAATTTTAATGTTTAAATATTGAAAATAATTTTTAAGATTTTTCTATCATTCTAGTAGAATTTTTAAAAATAATTCATCACCTCAAGAGTATTCAACAATCGCATTTGTTCTTAAAAAAGCTCCGTTATCAGAAAAAGACTTAATCATTTTTTTATTGAATCTTACTTTATTGAAAACATATCTAAATTTTTCACCATTTGGAGCAAATTTAGAAATATTTTTCACTTAGAAATTTCTTAAATAATCATCCTTTTGCATTACTAAGAATTTTATCATCGAAATTTATTTTTTATTTTAGTGAGTTTTATTTTCAATTTTTATTGTATTAAAAATTTTATCTAAATTCTCCAACATTCTATAGAAACTTTTCATTTAAAAATTTTCTAAAAATTCAACCATTCTTCATTTCTGGAATTTCATCATTTGGATAATTTTCATTTATTTTTTAAACAAATTTATAAGTTATGTTTTTTATTTTATTTTGAAAATAAATACAATCACTTTTGTTGAAACTTCATCTAAATTATTCCACCATTTGGGCTAAATTTAGAGAAGTTCCTCACCAAGATATTTCTTAAAAAATTAACCATTTGTAATTTATAAAAATCTCATCATTGGATAATTGTCGTTGTCATTTATTTTTATAGTTGAACTATAAATTATTTTAATTTAGTTCAATAACTTTTTATTAAATCATATTTTTACATTTTTAGGACCCAATAATTAACATTTCCTCATCTAAGCAAATAATTAAAAATAAATAAATAAATAAAATGATATTAAAAAATTAAGTAAAGAAGAAAAAGAGAAATACCAAAAGTTTAGACTAATACCTTATTCAAAATAGGCCTAGTTTGGCACTAGACTTAGCCCTTATTTCCAAACGGGCTTGAACACACAAAGATTGAGCCCGGTTTGTATCCATTAGGGCCAAACTTAAATTTAACATTAATTCAAATTTGGCCCAAAACTCTTCTTTATTCTTTTTCTTTTTCAATACAAACTCAATTTATTCGTTCTTTTGGCATTATTCCTTTTTCCTTCTAAAAAACGAAAAGTCTCCAACCTTTCTCTACACATGATTTATGGCCACCACTGCCAGCCATTGTGCTATCACAAGCCATCGTGCCGCTATCGGCCATTGTTTTATGCCACTGACCAGAGTCGATTTGAGCCTAAAACTTCCTCGAAGCTTCATCTCGGCCTCCTTGTCTCGAATCTGAGCTTGGATTTTCGAAAATCCCCCTCAAATGCCCTAGATCCAAAGTTAAATACTGTAGCTTTCTTCCACCACTTCAGCATCTTCTCGTGATCCAGTTTGACTGAAATTACAATATGTTTTTCTCCTCTCCGTTCTCTTTATGTTTGTGGGTTCCAATTCCCAAGAATCACCCCAGCCACTGTCAACCACCACAACTGCCATCAGCGTTGCTACTGTTCTCCACCTCGTGACACCGGTTCCAAACCAACAACACTTCTCTTTCGTCACTCTTGCCATTGTGAATTCTTAACTATGATTCACTACAATTGGGACTGGCTTGAAATTAGGTTTTTGGTTTGCTATTTTTGGGTTTGTTAGAGACCGCATATGGGGATTGGAGATTGCAGAAGTGTAAAATGGGTTGCTTGTTGGATTTTTGAAATTGTGGTTTGGTTTCTTTTGATTATTAATTAAGGTTGGATCTTTGATTGTGTTTGTTTCTCTTTTTGGATTGTTGCTAAAATTGCTAGGTATAGGTGATGTGGTACAGTTTTGCTGAGTGGTGAGATGGGCAGGTTGTCAACAATGAATTGGCATTGATGTAGAGATGGCAGTGTTGATAGAAGGGTTTTTCTTTGGCCGATTGCTTTTTCTGTAATGGTTGCCCCCTTTCATTGTCAACTATAAATCCATGTTATAAGGAAAAATTTAGCAGTCCCAAGAATTTCATATTGGATTTGTTTCAAAGTTAAAGATTATCTCCCAAGTTAATCTCAAATTGTTTTTTATGAGGATTATTACTAAGTACCAGTCTAATTTACCAACTTCAAGCCTTTTTTATGTTTCCCTTTTTTTTATAAACAATAATAATAAATGAAAAAAAATAAAAATGAAGATAAAATAAAAATAAAAGTAAAATAAAGATGAATGAATAAAATAAAGAATAAAGATAGAATGAAATAAAAATAAAGATAAATACAAGAATAAATATAAAATAATGATAAATACATTTATAAATATAAAGATAAAAATAATAAAATAAAATGAAATAAAATATAAAATTGGACTTTTTGGGTCTACAACTAAATTGAACCTAATTGACTTAGACCTCAGATTAAATGGGATATCTACAATGGATATAAAGTTATGGCGACAACCAATTACAACAATTTCTTTATATTATGATAGTGAAGCTACAATGTCTAGAGTTTATAATGAAATTTATAATGAAAAATTTACACACATTAGTCTAAGACATGACATGACTATATCAGAGAATTGATAAAAAAATGGGATAATAACCATAATGTATGTTAAATTTGCTAACAACTTAGCATATCCTCTTACCAAAGCGCTACCTAGAAATTTGGTAAGAAACACCACAAATGGAATGGGTTTAAAATTTCTTTTAAACACCAATAATGGGAACCTAACTTTGAATTAATAATCTCTAATTACAAAGTTTAATAGGTAACAATAAGTTATTATTATATATTTGTAAATACTAGTCAACCCATTCTAAATATTTGAAATACTAGTATGAACCATTGCATAAATGGAGGTTGAGACTAAACTCTTAATGAAAATTGAGATTAGAGTCTTAATGGAGTCTATAATTAAATGTCTATAGCAATAGAGACATAAATAAGAAACTATACCTATATAAATTCTGAAGTGCTGCCACTTTAATAAGAAAATTGAAAACTTTCTTGTAAATGTTTGTGACTAAGGATAAGCATATGGTCATAATAATGCTAAAACGATTATAAACCTCAAATAGAAGATTAAGTATTATCTGTGTTATATCTTTAATTTTAACATTAAAAGTTGAAGTTTAATCTGCGGACACCATCAATTTCGTTAGAATTCTAAGGTATATACGCTAATTGAAGGTTCAAATAAAAAAAATACATTCTTGTATTCATAATATGTATTTGTATAAAAAGTTAAAAACTAAGCACCAACATTCCAAACTAGTAGAAGAATGTTCGTAATATAGAATGTGATATAACCCATATTGAATAAAAAGATCATTTGTATTATTTAAATTGTTTAAATAACTGAATTAGCTGCTAAATTGGGCCAAGTCAATTGGGCTTGCTTCTACTAGGTTAAACAATTTTAAAAGTAAAAAATTGGGCACTTGGATAACAATGGGGGTTATTTAGTAAATAGATTTATTTTTTATTTAAATTTTTTAGTTCTTTAAATTTTGAAATATTAATAAAATATTATTTTTATTTTTATTTTGAATAAGCATATTTGAATAGAAAAACATAATTGTTTGAATAAACATGTTTGAATAGAAAAATATAACTTTTTGAATAAGCTTTTTTTGAATAAGAAAACATGACTATACATATTTTCATGACTTTTTAAATAAAAATTATGTAATTGTTTGTGTATTATAAATAGATCTTTTTACCTGACTAATTTTACTAATGTTGATTTGGAGAGTTTTAAAATTTTATTATATCCTATAGACATAATTACTTAGAAAATAATGTTTTTCACATCTCAAAATCATATTTCTTCTTTCTTGTTATTTCTATTTTCTCAAATTTTCTAACACTAAATTCATCACTTCCTTTAGCCATTCATGAAGTAATATCTCAATGTATTAAAAATTAATATCACTGTATTCAATACAACAACGTTACTATAAATAATATCTTAATTAACTAATTTAAAAAAAAAAAAAAAAAGAAAACTCCTTAGCAAAACTCTAATGAACCCTTAAAAAATGTCACGTTTCTATTTTCTAATAATAAGTGTGGATCCATACATGCATCACATATTTTAAAATAGTGTCGCATTGTGATTTTTCCGGTCTAGAATGACACGGTTAGAGGATAGATCTGATATTTTCTTTAAAGGTAAGTGATGGCAAGAAACAGGAAAATTGGAAGTGGCAAATGGAGCTTATTCAAACTTACCAAACATTTTGTGGCGAATACAATTAGAGAGCAACTCAGATCCATAAATTCCATTGTCCTGGCGCAGGAAGTCAATTGGAGTGACAGAGTATAGATAGTGAGTTGTATCAATGTGGTTTCCGTTACATGCCAGCTGAACTGGACTTTTTCCCTCTTTGTTTAAAATCGTAACCAAGTTGTTGTTCCTCTTGAACAAGCATTGTGCGATCTTGGTATCTCCATGAACAGCAGCGTTGCTCATGGCTGTATTGCCCATGCTATCAGTTACTAGAAGATCTTCTTCCGACATGAATTTCACCAAAAACTCGACAATCTCTGTCTGACCAGCAGCAATTACGGCACGGAGAACAGTCTTATCACTCAAAAGTTTAGCTGTTAATGGAGAGGACGAGTTGTAGAAGAGCGTCTTTATGGTAGCCGAGTCACCACTAATACCATATATAGCCTTGAGACAAGTCAGAAGAGCACTGCGTGAGGGATTCTCCATTCCTGCGTTTCCCTAAAACCACATAATAAAATTTTCATAAAATTTACATATTGTTGTCTCCCGCAGAAAGGATTGTATGAGGGACTGTAATCACACTATTAAAAAAAACTAATCATTTATTACAAATCATATATATGAAATATTGAAATAAATATTCACCATTTCATATAAATTTTTTATATATAATATGTATAACCTTTTAAGGTTTTTGATAATTCCTAGAAATATGAAAGAATTTTTTGTGAGATTCTACACAGGAAACGGTTTAATTTCCTATATTTTTTAAATTTCTCAAATAATTGGTTATCTTTTTTATTATGTATCTAATTGTGTTAGGAATATTTATTCAAATTTTAAAAAATATGATTATATATTTTTGAGATTTTTTTTAATTGATTAGAGATATTGTTTGATAAACAAAATATATTGATAAGCAAGAATTCTAAAACTAAAAGAATTTTTGGTGGACAAATTAGTGGGTTAATAAGTGGTGAGAATTTCAACGACGTGAAATATGAGAAAAAAAAATGTAAATTAAAAATTTTTATTAAAATTGAATTGTATCTAAAATTATTAAATTTGAAAAAATAAAAGAACATGAGAATCATCACTTACTTCTTGGCCTGGGTGATTGAATAAGAAAGAAAGTTTCTGGTTTTCAACTGTACTCAGTGATCGGGAACTGCAAATACCTTGAATCTGTGGTTGCTGATATTCCCCCCAAGTCTCGACCTACTTTTCCTCCAACACCCAGTTCACTAGTTTTCTTTCAACACAAGCATTTAAGTGTCTGGCAGATCTTCCCCAACAAACATAATAAATACACTTTTTTATTTGTTAATTTTTAATATATTTTTCGTGCACAATCCTCAGTATTTCCATCCATTAATTGTGAAACTTACTCTCATACACGATGATTAAAAGTATATTAAAATACCATTGAGGGGCACTTTCGTCATAGCGTTCTGTTAACTGTCGGTAACAAATGAAGAAAATAACTCTGTTTTGTAGGAGAGTTTACGCGCACTTTAAAATATATAAATTTTATATATTATTAATGAATTATATAATATTATATTATTAATAATAAATATATATTTTAAAAATTTAAAAATATTAATAAAATATTATCATTTAATAATATATAAAACCTATAAACTTTCGAAATATGAAACAAAGAAGTAGGCAAGTATAATTATAAAAACTTATTTTTATAATTAATTACTATGTACTTGTTTCGCTCTCATTCCCCCCCCCCCTTTAAAACAATCGCTCCAAATTTATCACTTTGAATAATAAACATCCATTTATCAGATTAATGAATTATTTATGGGTATTCAATTGTTCCAAGATGGTTTAATGAATTGTTTATAAGTATTCAATTGTTCCAAGATGGTTTAAAACTTGCAAATTACAAATATATATATATATATATATTTGACACTTTAAATAATAAACATCCATTGGTCAAATTAATGAATTGTTTATGGGTATTCAATTGTTTCAAGATGGTTTAATGAATTATTTATAAGTATTCAATTGTTCCAAGATGATTTAAAACTTGCAAATTGCAAATATATATATATATATATTTTTTTTTTGACACTTTAAATAATAAACATCCATTTGTCAAATTAATGAATTGTTTATGGGTATTCAATTGTTCCAAGATGGTTTAATGAATTGTTTATAAGTATTCAATTGTTCCAAGATGGCTTAAAACTTGCAAATTGCAAATATATATATATATATAATTATTTATATGTATAATGCATGGTTTAAGAGTTGATTCACCGTCATTTTGTGGATGGACTCTATGAAATTGAAGCAAAACTACATAATTGTGAGAGTAATCTCACACAAGGCCCATAATTGACTCATTTTTTTAGAGAACATTAGAAATACTCATAAATAGTGATCTATATATGGGAGAGCCTCAGGACACCTCAAATTAGTGAGCTAGTTAATTAATTATGCTTGAAGATCAATTAATCAAGCTTAATTTATTTTTGTCCTTAATTTTTTATTCTCTCAACCTTTTGTGCTCATTGTATTATGAGCTTAAACCAGGTTATCACCTTATAAAAGCTAAGACAATGAACACAAAAAAGTTTGTCTTTCGTTGATTAAAAGTTGCAATATACATGCAGTAAAAGATTAATTACATTTACTAATTAAAGAATCAAATAATAGATATACATGGATCTAATGAAATTAGTTGATAGGAATGGATGATCCTATTTTCTAAACATTGTGTGAGTGAATTGTGCTGACATTGGAGAATTGACTTTGCATATTATTGATTGATCATGTGATTGCAGATTTTGCTCCCAAATATTCTTAACATGCCCTCGCAAGATGGTTTTTAAAGATATTTTTGGATCTAAAAGGTCAATTAATCTTTTTTTTCATTAGAGATTATTAGTAGACAGTCAAGGATATTTTTTATTTTTAAGTCGATCTAATATATTAGGCCGACCTAACATGTACAATACCATGTCAATTCGGTTACATCATTATTTTACCTCACAGATCCCTCATCTTCCATCTATAAATAGTATCATCCAAGTATTATCTATATAATCTAACTTTTTCCTTACTTTCTTATTTTTGTCTCCTTTCAACCTCTTTTGTCTCAACTTCTGACTTAAGCATCAAAATGCAAACATAAGGAACACCCTTACCTTTGCTTTTAATCGTTTTCTCTTTTTTTTTGTGATTTTAATATATTATCCTTTAATTCAAAGTGCAGCACCAACATTTGGCATGTCAAGTAAGGGCTATACTCTTTAGCCAAGCCAAACACCATGCCACCCAGAAAGAGAGCCAACGAGGAAGGAAAGCCAGCCTTTCCAGTTGAGTTTGAACAATAGCCAACATACGGACCGATCTACGGTAACACAAGCAAAGCCAACTATGGAACAATTCTAAACCTTAGCCGAATAAATCCAAACCCTAAAACAAATGCTTCAAAGCATAACACAACCCCAAGCTTCAAAAGTACCCAACTTGGTCACCCATGGTAGACAACCAAACTATGAGGAGGTTGAAGCTTTTTCCTCTAAGAAGGAGGAACATGCCATTCCAATTACATATCACCATTATCCTAGCCACAACTCCACTTAAACCACTACCTAAAAATCTAAAGAAATCGATTTGAAGCCTCAACTAAACAGAGATTTGGAGGCTAAAATGTAGGCCATGGAAAAGAAACTAAAAGGAAAAACTGTCGACTTTAAGGATAAGCTAAAGTTCATAAAGACCTCACCATTTTATCATGGAGATTGACAGAATTATACCCCCAAAAGGATTCAAAATGTCGACCTTAAAGACCTACAACAATACTTATGATTCTTTGATCATTTGAAACTTTATAGAACTAACTTGATGATGTAAGATGCAGATTAGGCCTTGATGTGTAAAGAATTGGCTACAACCCTCAAAAGGGTAGCTCGATCTTGGTACTACAACCTTAAACCAAAGTCAATCACTACATTCGAAGAGCTCAGCCACTCTTTCCTTTTGTTTCATCAAAAATAGAAGAAATAAAAAAACTTCATTAAGCCTGATGTCAATTCATCAGGGTAGAAAATGAGTTTTTAAAAGACTATGTCACATGTTTTAATGCAGAAGTTCTACAAGTGAAATATTTAGAGCAAACAGCAATTGTAGCCACCTTAACCAATGGACTCAGTGACAAAGTATAACTTGAAGCTCACATTATCTTCAGAGCCACCAAAGAGGCTAGCCAACATCCTATTTGTGGCCAAAAAATACATAAACACTAAAGCTACTATGAAAAATAATTGAGGTGAAAGAGATTCATCCTCTTTTTTCGATGACAAAGATGAGAGAGGCTCATCTCCCCTCCTCAATAAAAAAAAGTAAAAAATTTTATGATCCTTCCTTAAAAAGGAGATGACACAAAGCTAGGAGCCTAAGCAAAGAAAAAAACTATACTATACTGAATACTTTCTAATAGAGGATTCTGATACAAATAAAAAAAAAACCTAGAGCTAAAGCCATTAGGGCAGAACACAAGAAAGGACCTAATTAAAATATACGCCTTTCACCGAGATATCAACCACAATACAGAAGATTGCATCAACTTGAAGAATAAAATAGAGTCGAATCAGGAGAGGTCAGCTAGAAAAGTTTATGGATTAATGGAGATAAACTATAAATTGAGGGACCATAAGGAAGAGCTAGTGAGAAATCAAAGGGAAAATGAAAATCGGGGTGATGGAAATTAGAGAAACAAGTAAGAAAAGAGAGGCCAAGCAATAGACAATAGGCCTATTATGGGTATAATTAACGTGATCACTAGGAAAAGTTTCGCATCGACCAAGAGAAAATTTGACCAGGCAATGATCAAATTCTTACATAATATTGCCATCATAATCACTGTTGTTGTATATAATTATGTGGTAAGAAGAATTCTATTTGAAAATGAAAGCTCGACTGATTTTTGTACTACATCATAATGTTGAAAATGAAAATCAAATAAGAGATGTTGAAGCCATTCACTACCACATTGATCAGCTTTGGGAATGAACTAATGCTTGTAAAAGGAATAATCAAGTTATTGATCACATTAAGTAACGAGCCAATAAGCATTACCTCGATTATCAAGTTTATGGTGATAGACATGCCTTCAGCCTTCAACATGATATTAGACCAACATAGCCAGTCTATTATACAGTTAATTGGTTTTGCTCCTCACTTAATCATTAAGTTTGTAACACCAAATGAAGTTAAAGAGGTAAAAAAATACCAATTCACTACACGATAATGCTATTTCACAATGAAAAGAGGTAGGACTATGAAGTAAACTAAAAGTCTAGCCAGGGAAAAAGAGCCAGAAAAGATAAAAGAGATTAATGTAAAAATCGAAAAAGAAGAAAAAATGACGAAAAGTGACCTTAATAAAAAGTAGCAAGAAATCAATAAAAAAAAATGCTTGTAAGCCACTCTGATCTCTTAAGCTTCATAATTGTACAAGCCACTTTTGTAATCCTTAAATAAATTTACAAAACCAAGCTCTTAAATTGGCATACATATTTGTCAATAGGACTGAATTGTCAAGCTAAAAAATATGAAATATAAATCTACATTTTGATTAAGTTCTACTTTCTACTACATGCCACTCTACTAATAACAAAAAACTAGTTGCCATGTCAGAATCTATCATTTTTGTAGAAAATAGTTTCAACCTAATTAAAGAAAAAAAAATTGATCAGACACCTGAGGTCAATAATAACAAACTAGAACAAACAATGGAACTCATTTCTATGTCGTTCTAAGAGAAAAATCCTAAAAAAGTATGCAAATTAAGCTTCAACTAGACCATAAAGAACAACTAATTTAGCTCATAAGAAACAATGTCGATTTATTTGTATGGACTCTATCAAATATGCCAAGGATGAATCTCGAGGTAATGGTCCATAAGTTATACACTAACCCAAATATAAAGCCAATTCGATAAAAATAAAAGACTTTTACCCCCTAAAAAGAGAAAGAAGATAAAGATAAAGGTTGGTAAACTACTACAAGTAGGTTTCATTAGAAAAGTATACTACCCCAAGTGGATAACCAATAGAGTCATGGTAAAAAAGCATAGTAAAAAATGAAGAATGTACGTCAACTTTACTGACCTAAATAGAGCTTGTCTAACAGATAACTTTCTCCTTTCTAGTATAGATTGACTTGTTAGTGATAACACTGAACACGGCTTGCTCAATTTCATAGATGGTTACTCAAGCTATAATCAAATCAAAATACTAAAGGGAGATAAGAAAAAAAAACCTTTATAACAAAAAAGTTTTATACTATTACAAAGTCATGCTCTTTGGACTAAAAAACACATGGATGACCTGCTTGAAGTTGGTTAATAA